AACCAAGTTTGACCATTGCTTATATGGGGACCATTGATGACAAGGGGGCCCTGAGCTGAGAGCAACTTCCTGAAGAAGATATTTGGACCCTTGTGTTTTTTGCAGTTTGCTGACTTTCTTTCAGTCTTCCTCCAGCTGGACATTGATTGCCTGTATTTCATTGTTGGGAAGGATGAAATTTGCTGGGAAGGACAGGGAGACCGAAACTCTATGAATTGCTTGGACCCTGCAGTGGACATGAGACTAACCTGGTGGAATTTCTGCAATCTCCTTCCATGCTTCAGGTTTCAATCATTCAATGGCCAAATGTGTCCGATTTTCTTTGGGCCAAGAAGGTATTTGTCCACGCCCACCGGGATTTTTTTTCTGGGGCCTGAGCAACTGGAACCACGTGAAGCAGAATCTCTGTCCATGCGCCACGTAGACGCTGCCTTTAGCCAATGTGGATGGCGGAAATGTTTGGAAGGGGCATATACTCATGTGCAAATGAACATGGAACCCAAAAAGGGGTACCGCATCCTTTTGTGGAAGGAACCATGTCAAACTCGTATTCTGGGGTTCTCCATTAGTTTTGGTGGAGGAACTGTTCTTGCGCTCCTCCATTATTTTTGTGGTTGCCCAGCCATTGTGCTTTCCACGGGAGTTCCTCCGGAATTGACATGGAACCTTCAAAAAGGGCTACCCCAACAGCAGGTCTTAACTGGTCGAGATCAATGCTCTCAGCAAGTAAGGTGGTCTTTCTTGGCAGAAGTGAGAGGCTGGTCTGAAACAAGTTGGCCATGGGTCAAATCCAAATCGTACCCCCAGTGAACATCCCAATCCCCACTAAAATAGGTTCTAAAAAGGGTGGTGAATTCACCAATCCCCCAGAATGGGATCCCAAATTGGTTTTGACAACCACAGCCAGTCAAGTTCTCAAGGCGGATCGGTTGGGTTCCAATCTGAGGTGGTGGAGGGCGGTGGCGAGGGCATTTTCGGCACCCTCTTGCCAGGCCGATGAAACCGTGTGCACGTCAGAAGTCAAAACAGGACGCATGATATGGCACAAGAAAGAGGGTTGACCCCTCCCCTTTTTCGCCTCATGTACCTCCCCACGTTGCTGCTGAGCCATCCATGTGGCCAAATTGCCATAATTCACAGACTGAGAATAAGGAGTCTGCAAGTAAGGGACTTTCAGCTCGTTTTTCCCTGGGATCGGTGAGCTCGTTCTTATGTTCCCTCGACCTTAGAGCGGACTTGTTCGCGTGTGTGTGCGCGTTGTATTTTTTGTATTTTTCACGGCAGTAAAGGGGCAACAGGAGAGTGAACATATCAGACCCGGTGTATACATAGGGATACTACTGCCCGCACGTGGCCACTTTTTGACAGTCGTCTGGGGAGCTTCTCGCGCGCAGGTACCACGTAGGCTCGACTTGACAAGTTGCCAGTAGCCGCTCTCGTACGAGTTTTAGCCCGGAACACGCACCGCGTAGGCACTCTGAGAGCAACACTCCAACCGCCTATGCGCACATAAGCGTTTTGAGATACACCTCGCGTAGGCCGTCGCGAACGTTATTTGCACTGGCGCAGGCGTCTGATTCGTCACTGATTCCCAAAACTCTGCTCAATTGGGGTAGGGTAAGCTCACGTACAGCTCACGTTTCTACACTCCGAGTGCCAAACTGTCAGTTGCCTGCCTGTATGGATTTGCCGCAAAATGCTCAGGTCTCAAAAAATACTTCGACCTTTTTGCGCTCCAAAATCGGTGGTTTGCCAGTGGTTTGCCTTTTGAACAACACCGATACCGGCGAATCAGCATGTATCAGTATGTTCCCTTTCGGAGTAGATGAGCCGCAAACGGGTCTCCCTACAGGTTGAGGTGTTGCTGGTTGATCTCGTTTCGTTTGGGTGTTTGCCAATCAGGAGAGTATGTTCCGTTTTGGTGAGGGCCTAAATCTTCCTATTCTCCTCCTGAGCTTGGATTGTTGCAGGCCTCAGCTTGAGTTGTGGTAGGGGTACTAGGACCTCAACAATTAGAACGGCGTTGCGGCCCACTTCAAAACCACCAGTCATGATTCTAGGAGTTTTCGTTTGGCTGCTTAGCTCCTATCATCTGAGTCTCTCAGTTTTTGAGCATCTGTCACGCGAAAGCCCGCGGCTTTGGAGTGTCAGGTGAGCGGAGGCAGGTGACGGTGGTCTTTAGCCCCGAGTCGGCCACGGAGATGGACCACAAGATCATCTTCAAGGCGTGTGGCTTCGGATGCACCGCTCCGTGAAAGGGAGTTCGTCCCAGTCTCTTAATTTGTCCAGCAAGGGGCGGGGACGGTTATATTAAACAAGTGAATAGAACGATATTATCATGACGGGGTTCTTTGAAAGCCATAAAAGGTCAATATTTTGTTAATGTTGGAACATGTGGAAACATGAACTGTGTGTGGAATGCTTGACCACAATGGCATGTGCCATTTTGGCTCAAGCATTGCCTTGGGGTTCTCTGAACCCTACTTGATCTGAAAAAGGCAGGTTTCTTTCGATCCCTCTCGCGTCTCCGATTCGCAATGGCATCCTCGACCACCACGGTGTCCTCGATGGAATTGGTGGAGGAGCAGAAGATCACGGAAGAAGAGATCGAGTTGGCCAGGCAGGAGGCCCCGGAGACCCAGTTGGTTCGCCTGCTTCAAGCCCGGGTACTACCGCCTCACGGACTTGCGGACTCCTTCCCGACCCTGCAGGCATCCGCGGTTACCCTGTTGCGGGACATCACGGGGGCGGAGGCTGCCTCTCTCTTCTACAAGTTTGTCGGGAAGACTCTGTCGGAGGGCCTCGTCATGCGGACCTTTGTACCGATGAAGATTCAGCTTAGGCTCCCTCCGCAACGTTGAGGCCGACGGCATCACCTACCACCTGCTGATCCTGGAGGGCAAGCTGGTGTGGGTCCAGCAGCGGGACGTGGATCGCAAGATGGTGGACGTGGGTCCCGTTGAATTTGAGGGTGGACATCAGGCAGGAGATTCTCACCATGGAGGCGGACGCCGAGGCGATGAAGGTGAGGGAGCACCAGCAAGTCCAGGTCCAGGTGCAGAGATCCTTGCAGGAAGCGGAGTCGCAAAGCTTCCCGCTCTACCACCCGCAGGTGGAGCAGGCCATTAGGAAGAAAGAGGAGCTCCACCGGGCCTTGCCCCAGAAGCGTGACTTGTCCCCACAGCAGGTCTCGGCTCGCCAGGCAGTTGGTCACGGCGGTTTCGTGAGAAGTTGAGGGAGCAGTCCTTAGAGGGCACAAGTGTGGAGGCTGGCCAGGCCCTGACGGAAGCGCTGGACACCATCCAGGAGGCGCAGGAACAAGCGCATGCAGGAGACCAACCAGGTCTGGATTTTCTTCGGGAGGATTTTCTTCGGTAGGGGACATTAAGATTAAGGAGAAGTACATCCCCTTCATCCAACAGCTGCGGGAGTCGGGAACCCGTGGAAGGAGGAGGAGCTGCTGGCGGAGACGCCGGAGGTGGAGTCGGTGGACCCGCCCAAGGGTGCCCCCGGCCCCGGGGGGGGACCAGCCAACGCCACAGCTGGACCTGGACTCCAAGGAGGGCAAGCTGTCTCTTCTCCTCTGGGCTGTCGGGAAGTTCTTGGGTGTCCCCAGGTCAGAGGCCACAGTGATGCACATCTTGGAGGCTCACATCCCCATGAAGATCCAATGCCGCCAGGAGGAGGTCTGGAATTCCCAACACCTCCGCAGAGGCAGAGCGGGCCTGGACACCTCGCCCCTCCGAAACTGGCTCTTGCGAAAGCCAGAGTACGAGTTGATGTGCGCCAAGTACATGGTGGGTTGGTTGAAACAGGCCAACAATTCCGGCAAGCGAATGTGTAGCAAGTGTATGGCGGGTTGGCCTCACCAGGCAGACAAGTGTTGGGGTTGCTCCAACATTACTTCCATTTTTTACCCCGGGTGAGTTGACCTGGCATTTCATCGTCGGCTCCAGCGGGCTTCAGTGGATCAGGTCGGGCAGTGAGGCGGCTTACGCAAGCTCCGCGGAAGGCCCCTCGGGTGTCGCGTTTCCGCGGGGGCCGGAAGGAAGTGGTAGATGCTACCAAGCTGGCCCAGCGACTTGCCTGCCTTGCCAAGGACTCGGAGTTTGGAAAACACGGCATCCCTGCAAGCATCCTTGGCCCGAGGCAACCGCGCCACCTGCGTTTTGGTGTGGCCTGCTGTCTGATTTGTGCGTTGTTGCGCCTCCGGCGCCTCGTTGTGATTTGTTGACAGGTGGGAGTGCAGCCGAGGGCTGTTTTAAGAGCACAACATCCCTGCAAGCCTCTTTTGTCCTGGACGACCACACCTCCCGCATTGTGAACACGACCTCCCTGCAAGCATCCCTTGTCCTGGGCAACCACACCACCAGCAGTTTGATGCGGCCTGTTGACGGATTTGAGTGCAGCCGAGCGCTGATTTGAGAACACAACATCCCTGCAAGCATCCTTGTCCTGGGCAACCGCACCACCTGCGCCTTGATGGGGCTTGCTGACAGATTTGAGCATTGTTGCGCCACCGGCGCCTCGTCGTAGCTTGTTAACAGGTTGGTGTGCAGCCGAGGGCTGCTCCAAGAGCATAACATCCCTGCAAGCATCTTTTGTCCTGGGCAACCACACCACCAGCAGTTTGAGGTGTCCTGTTGACAAATTCAAGTGCAGCCGAGGGCTGCTTTGAAAACACGACATCCCTGCAAGCATCCTTTGTCCTGGGCAACCACACCACCTGCAGTTTGATGTGGCCTGTTGACTGATTCGAGTGCTGCCGAGGGTTGTTTTTGAGAACACGACTTCCCTGCAAGCATCCTTTGTCCTGGGCAATCACACGGCCAGCAGGTTGATGATGTGGCCAGTTGACAAATTCGAGTGCTGCCGAGGGTTGTTTTGAGAACAGGACATCTTTGCAAGCCTCCTTTGCCTTGGGCAACCACACCACCTGCGCTTTGATGTGGCTGGTTGACAGATTTGAGTGCCGCCGCGCCACCGGCACCTTTGTAGCTTCGCAAGATGCAAAGCTGCTGCTGCCGGGGGGCGTACCCCCCGGCAGGGGCGACGGGCGAGTCGAGGGCCTGCGGGCCATCCTCGACCGCGGTCGCCGAAAGGAAGAGTTGGAGATTGGGACCACGAGCTGCGAGTGGGAGGACCCCTCGTAGGCGCGACGGGCGAGTCGAGGGCCTGCGGGCCATCCTCGACCGCGGTCGTGGCGACCAGCATGGTTTGGGCAACCGCACCACCGGCATTTTGATGGGGTCTTATGGTTGATGGGCGCAGCCGAGGGCTGCCCGGAGAGCACACCATCCCTGCAAGCATCCTGTGTCCTGGGCAACCACGCCACCTGCAGTTTGATGTGGCCGGTTGACAGATTCGAGTGCAGCCGAGGGCTGATTCGAGAACACGACATCCCTGCAAGCATCCTCTGTCCTGGGCAACCACACCACCAGCGTTTTGATGTGGCTTGTTGACAGAGTTGAGTGCCGCCGCGCCACCGGCGCCTTGTCGTGTTTGTTGACAGGTTGGAGTGCAGTTGAGGGCTGCTCTGAGAGCACAACATCCCTGCAAGCATCCTTTGCCCTGGGAAACCACACCACCAGCTTCTTGAAGTGGTTTGTTGTCGGCTTCGAGTGCAGCCGAGGGCTGCCTTGAGAACACGACATCCCTGCAAGCATCCCTTGTCCTGGGCAACCGCTCCACCAGCACTTTGATGTGGCTTGTTGACAGATTTGAGTGCAGCAGCGCCGCCTGCGCCTTGTCGCGCTGGGTTAACAGAAACTTGCGCAGAGCATCTGGGTGCCCCCGGCCCCGGTACTCAGGCGGTTTCGCCGGATTGATCCCGAGACCTTCCACCTCGGAGAGGGCTCTGAGATGGCTAAAGGATGCTCTTCGCCGTCGGGGAGTGGCCCAGGAGTTGGTGGCGCCGCTGTCGTGGCACTCATTCCGAGTGTTCATCCCGGACTGCGCTTTCCAAATGGGGATCCCCAGGGAGCGCCGTCAGTATTTAGGCAACTGGCTAACAGAAAGCACAGCAGATGTCTATGTCCGGGAGAAGCGCAATGTCGTGGTGGACATCTGGGGCCAGGTGGCACAGAAGGTCCCCAATCTGAACCCCGGGCCAGGCAGGGAGCGCAGGGAGGACCTGAACCACCCGGACTGGGCAGACCCGCTCCCACCACCAACAGTGGAAATCCAGCACAGGGTCGGACGGCCACAAAGGAAAAGAAGGGGAGACGTCTCCTACGGCACCTTTAGGGAGTGCACCGTCGACTCGCTCATGGTCAGTGGTGGACCAGGGGTCCGAGGACACTCCCGTGAAGGCCAAGGGCCTATTCCCCATCACCCCGGACTCTCCCCTTTGGTTGCGCAAGTAAACGCACAGGCCCCGCCAGCCGGGCCAGAATCCACCTGTTGGACGACGCGGGCACGGCGGTGGGGTGTGGATGGAGACCAGCGGCGTCCAAGATTCAAGAGCTCTCCCCGTTGGACTATGTGTCGGAGCCATGGGCCTATGGCAAGTGTGAGCGCTGCTTCAAGCGGCACGGCTTCCCAGAGGACTGGCTCCTGGAGCCAGCGGAGGTCCCCGCATTCAATTGAAGGAGGACTCCGGCTCCGCGTTGGACTTGGGTTCGGAAACGGATGACTCGGTGGACACCCAGTCGAAAACCAAGGTGGTGGCCCTACCCACGGAAGTCTAGGTGCCCTCGGCCCTGACGACCGAGGGGAGGGCCAAGGACAGGACACCAGCCGGGGCCCTCAGCACAGACTGGCATCCTTCGGAAATGGCGGGTGTGCCAGACTGTCCTTCGGAAATGGCGCTATCAGTCTGCACACCCGTTCTTTGGGATTTGAAAGTTTGGGGTGGGTGGCCCATGGGGCCCACCCAGCCGTGAACATCTGACAGGGGAAGATGAGTCCCTGGCACCAACACAATGCTTGGATAAAAGAGTTATCGCGTGCTTGTGTGGTGCCGTTTGGTTAGCTTACATACACTTTGTTAATGTTGGAACATGTGGAAACATGAACTGTGTGTGGAATGCTTGACCACAATGGCATGTGCCATTTTGGCTCAAGCATTGCCTTGGGGTTCTCTGAACCCTACTTGATCTGAAAACCCACCCACCCACACCAAGGCAAAAGTGTCCTGGCGATGCCTGCCAGGCCTCCGGAGGAGATTCCGGCGGAGATGAAGGAAGATGTGGCGAAGTTGCAAAAGCCACTGGTGGCCATCTTG